TCTGCCTTCAGCTCAGGTCATGATCCCAGGGTCCTGGGATCGAGTCCCACATCGGGCTCCCTGCTCAGCAGGGAGTCTGTTTCTCCCTCTCCCTCTGACCCTCTGCCCGCTTGTGCTCACTCTCTCTCAAATAAATAAATTTTTTTTTAAAAAAAGGCACTAAAGAATGAATATATAGAGATAATCATTCTAATATCTCTGGAAGAATGTCAAGAAACATAATTTGGCTTCCCATAGAGGAGGATCAGAGGCAGGAGGGAGACTTTTGTATACTTTTTGAAGTTTGAATGTGTAAATATATAATCTATTCAAGTAATAAACATTAAAAGTCATTTATTTTTTCAGAATATAAGATGATTTGTGTATTAGTTTTATAAAATTCAGAAAGATTAGAGATCTATAAATATGAAAATAAAAATAAGCCATAAATTAGCATCCACAGATAATCACCATATTCCACTGTATCCAATCAACTATATTTATCTATAACTTTGAGAAAAAATGGTAGCATTCCACATACTTTGTTCTGTAGCATATATTTTTTCTCTTAACATTGGATCATGAGCATCTTCCCGTGTTATTAAGCAGTTGAAAAACACAGTTGCTAATACCTTTATAGTATTTTTTCATATGGATATACCATCACTTAGTTAACCATTCCCCTATTGTTGGATGTTTAAGTTCTTAGATTTTTCCCAAATCTCCACTCTGGTAAATAACACCGCTGTTATTTACGACTTTTGTTCCTTTTGAAGGTCCTTATATGGCCCCCCCCATTTCATGAACTACACATTTCCACTCCTGATCATCCCTTTGTTTTCTTCTCAGGGATCACAGATAAAGGGTGAAGAACAAATATTTCTCTTTTAGTTTCCATAGTGTCTACAAGCTTGGGGCCTCCTTTAGTAGCTGTTAAAGTGACTTCCTTTTTTGAAGTAAGAAGACACGGTATTCCGTGGGCAGAGTGGAAATGCTGTCTGAGGTCATCAGTCTGCATTTCCTCTCAGCCCTCCGCTCCAGAGCCCTGGTAACGGGAAGCCCAGGGCTCTTCTCCCCTTCCGCCCCACCCCCCAGCTCCTGTTATTGTTCACGTGCAAAGCCTCCCACCATCTGGGGGAACTGGTTCCTTGAGCTGATTACCTCCGGGCCAGCTGGGTGGGCCAGCTTGAAACCTCCCCCGCCCAGTTCTGATTTTGGAGTCAACAACAAGCTCAGAGTAGGTGTCAATCCCTGAGGACCATCAAAAATTGCCTTTTTGGAAAATAAAATTTATTTTCCTAAACCTCAGCCAGGATTTTGAATCCTCTCTGTTTGCTTTCTGATATCAGGAAATGCCTAGCACATATTCATTTTCCCCATATATTAAACTGTTGAAGACCCTTCAAATCAGTGTTGAGTTTTAGATTGTGAACTTGGGCTGCAGCTCATTTCTGTTGTAATGTGGCGGCTTCCCCCTTCCCAGGAATAAACATCACAGCTGTTGCTATTCCGCTGGTGCTCCTTGCCGTGCTGCTTGCTGGAATGGGAATCTTTGCAGCCCTCAGAAAGTATGTGACTTGACATTTTTAAGTTTCTTCTCTATGCAAATAATCACAAAACCAAAATGTTTGCTTTCCAGATACTCATGTGTAGAAAAGCAGCATTACTTTGGCCAAGATAAAATGTTAATATATGTTTTAAGAACAAGTTGGGTAGGGGTAGAAAGTATAATGTATTCTTCTCTAAACAACATTTATCACTTAGAAACCTTTTCAAGTAGGATTCTTTTGTCTCTGTAGGAGGAAGAAGAAAGGAAATCCATATGGATCAGCTAAGGCCCAGAAAACAGGTTGGTTTACAGAAAACTCTATCTACGGTTTTATTCTGTCTTACAAGAAGGGACAGGTCTGCTGATTAAAAGCATGATTAGGTCTGTGGCCCACACTTACATGGTTAAAAAAATAAGCTCTATAGCCCTTAAGGTAGCAAGCCTAAAAGAAATGGAATATTGTGTCCTATCTCCTTATTTCAATTGGGAGTTTTCATGGCCAGTTACTTTTACTTTTGTTCAGCACTATCCCATCATTTATCAACATTCAGGGTTTTTGGCCATTGGAGTTTAGGCCACCCCAATGCCTGTCACCCAGGAGAAGTTATAAAAGCCCCATTTTCACAAAGTACGTTGTCCAGCACACTCTGCAACTCCAGGCTTCCACAGTATTTCCCATTCTGGGAAAGTGAAGGAAGAACCAGGCAGGGTTCAGGTTCAGGTTGCAGAGAATCCTTAGGACTACACGATGCCCGTGCGATGAGTCAGCCGCGGTCCAGAGAGAGGGCAGCAGGGCAGGACCCCTCAGAATCTTAGGGGCACTTTGGGACACCCCCTCTGCAGGGTCTCAAGAGCCGGATGTGTTGACTCCTGAGACACGAGTGTCGCGTCTGTGCAGATGACGGGAAACCATGCCCCCCACGTGTGTAACATAGGGATAATCTGGGACGTGAGGGGTACACAGATACATAGCAAAGGCAAGTGGAAAGCGTGGCCGGAATGCTGTCCATTGTCGTTGTAACGACCACAGCATGCTGTTTCTACCACATGTATCTGAGGAGCCGTGGCCATGCACTTACACATAAGGTCAGCCGGCAGGAGGCGGTCTGACCCCCGACTCGTCGAGAAACACATCATGGACAATGTGTGTTACACTTCTGAGATATTAGTTTCCTGTTATCTTTATTCCAGACTGTTGGAAGCAGATCAAATATCCCTTTGCCAGACATCAGTCTGCTGAGTTCACCATCAGCTATGATAATGAAAAGGAAATGACGCAAAAGTTAGATCTCATCACAAGTGATATGGCAGGTAAGGGTTAAGCCTCTGGGACGGTGCTCTGGGGTCAGACGTGCTGCTTCTGGGAGCGGGGAGACCAGGAGGGAAATAAGATGAAAACCCTTGTGTTTAGATGAGGCCCAGTAAGTCAGTAATGTGTTTCTTAACTCCGCACAGAGTTGCAAACGGACACTGAGATCTCTCTCAAAAGCCCATTCAGACAAGGCCATTACACCAACAGGAGCTAGAGCAGAACTATAACAATGGCCCCTGAGGTACCACGAGAATCTGGAAGCCCTGAATTAATCTGTTACTAAGGTTTTGGTGAAGACACTAAGAAAGAGGGCCTGGAAAGCACAGTTCCTGGCCTTGTGGAAGACGAGCTAGGAGATGAATGATGCCGTCCAGTGTTAGAATGGCCTCTGAGGCCGGATTAGCCATTCCTGAGAGTAAAGCTTCTCAAACTGTCCTTGGGGAAGGATCCATTTTGTTGTTTGCCTTTTAAAAAATTATTTCTAATCCATCAAGAACTAATACTTTTGTAAAATACAATTCACGTGACCCTTGAACAAGGGGGTTAGGGATGCCGCCCCCCTGCGCAGTCAAAAATCCATGTATAACTTCTGACTTCCCCAAAACTTAACTGCTCATAGCTTATTGCTGACCAGAACAACCTACTGTTGACTCCATCCTTACAAATAACATAAACAGTTAACACACACTTTGTATGTTATATGCATTATATATTGTATTCTTACAATAAAGTGAGAGAAAATGTTATTAAGAAAATCATAGAGGAAAATACATTTCCAGTACTACGCTGTATTGAAAAAAAAAAATCCGCCTATAAGTGGACACACACAGTTCAGACCCCTGTTGTTCAGGGTCCACTGTAAAAATGAGGAGCAATAATGACATTTTAAAAAAGATATACAAAATACAAAGCTCTAAGCCTTTTATTAGGCTCAGTGGACATAAAGGTACTCTCAAATTGCCGTGAGTTTCTAAACACTTGCTCTGAATTTGTGTACTTGTCTTTTTGCAGACCTGTCTCGGTTCTCAGATATGTAGGCATCTGCAGACCGCACTCCCTGAGGAGCACTGCTTAGCTTCTCGCTACCCATAGTGCATTCTGAGGGCCAGCAGCATCAGGGAGCTTGCCAGAAATGCGGGCTTTCAGGCCATGCCCCAGGCCTACCGACCCAGAAGTTCCCAGGTGGTGCGTGTGTGTATCAAAGTCAGAAAGCTACCAGTGGAAAGCTTGCTTGAGCCACTTCAGGGCAAAGAGAGCATCTCTCGCCACAAAATCCATCTTCTTATTCCTTCATCCCCGGTCCCCGACAATTCTAGTGCTACCTTGTAGATAGAACAAGGGGAGGAAAGACCCTCTTCTCTGTCCTCTTCCTTTCATTGTTCTTTAGCTTCTGGTGCAACCTGTTGCCCTCCCCCACTGTGTGGTCCTTCTTGGGCACCTTGACTGTGTGAGCCCCTGAGTCTCGCTCTTCCCCTCACTTAGCCACAGTCTCTCTCTTCAGCAGTCTCACCACCCCCA